GCAGAAGAAGAAGAAATGAGAAGGCACCTTGTGCTGGCTAAACCCATCTCATTGGAAGATGAGAAAGATTCAGAGTACACAGCTTCGAATGTCATCCGTCGAATCCTCAGCCTTATGAAGAACATAAGTCCAGGATCCGATCTCACCCATTTTCAGGTGTAATTTTTTAAAAACTGTTGAAGTGAGTTTTATTGCTAGCTACACTACAAATGGCCATTGCGTATACATTTTTCTGGAAAAAAAAAATGACTTCTTTTGGGGGTAATAAATGAAAGTTTTATTTTGGGGGGTCACAGAAAATACATATGAAAGTGGTGATGAAAGTTGTGATTAATTATGTTTCTTTGAAGTATTTTATTTAGCAAAAAGATACGACCCGTATAAGAAAGAACAAACTTAATTAGTATACAATTCCAGCTTTGTGTTTAGCCAAAAAAAAAAAAAAACAATTCCAGCTTCATGTTAAGCCAAAAACCAAACAATTCCAGCTTTATGTTTATGTAACATAAGTTTGATATAATTCATTATAACCCTTAGGTTATATAGTACGGTTATTGACATATAAATATTTTTAAATACTCAAATATTTGTATCAATAACGGTGTCTTCATAAGTTGGGTTAGGGGTGGGCAAAAAATCCGTTAAATCCGATTCGATTCGCTATCCGTTCCGATCTGAACCAAAAAATCCGGATATCCGTAAAATTTCAAAATAAAGCAAATACTAAATTTAAGTATCCGTAAAAAACAAAGCAAATCGCAAATATCATTTTAGAAAAACCGAATATCCGATCCGATCCGTTACATATATTATAATATAAAGTTCATATCTGATGTATATGATTAATTATTATTTTTTGTTATTATAGATGTACAAATGGAATTAATTGTATTGGATTTATTTATTTTTTGCTAAGTATTTAATATTTATTATGATTAAATAATTAAATAATAATTAAAACTATAACGGATCGGATCGCGGATATTTAAAAAATCGGATATTTGATATATAACGGATCGGATCGGATATTCGCGGATATTTTTTAAAAAGTCGGATATCCGAATTTTCGGATATCCGAAAATTCACGGATCGGATCGGATCAGAAAAATAACTATCCGTTATTCACGGAGCGGATCACGGATACCGGATATCCGCTCCGTGCCCACCCCTCTGTTGGGTGCTCTACGGAGTACGCAAAATGCATGAGAACGCGAACAATTATTTTTTCTCTCGATACTATAATTATCTCAAAGAAAGACTCTTTTCTTTTTTGGATTTTTGTGGTGAATAACCAAAAAAAAAATAATAATTAAAAAGTTAGAAAAAATAGGATATGTGGTAAATTGTAGACCATTGGATTTGGGATTTTTGGTTATGTTTTAAATTATAATTTTTTTGTTGCATTTTTGGCAAATTATAATTCTTTTTATGCACACAATTTTTTTTTTAGATTTGATTCTTCAAATCGAAGAGAATTACATAAAAAGAAAAAGATCTTAATTAGTCAATTACATATACATTTGGTAGTATCATCATCAATCTCTCGAACAGTTGACCATTCATGTGTTTCCGTACAAAACACGTAAATGTTCCAATATGCAATTTTATTTTTCTCCGTAAAACTTATTGATTGTTTCATTTGAACGTAAAGCTGCCAACGCAGCTGAACCTACCGAGATCGCAACTCCAATGCTACGGCGAGATGGTCTACAGTTTCAGCGGTCAGGATTTGTTGGGGGAATGCAACCGCCGCGATCTTCCCATCGAACGGCTCAAATCGGTAGTGACATGGAACATCTCCACACTCCGTCCGGTGGTCTTGGGCATGTCTCCCTACAACCCCGTTCTCGGTGAGACTCACCACGTCTCCAACGGTCACATCAACGTCCTCATCGAACAAG